TAATAAAAATATTAACTAGAAAGAGATAAATTTATTCGAATACATAGTTGACTGAATTAGCTACATAAACATCCAAGAGAATCTACAATCTGCTAGATTTAAGAAGAGAATCAATTCCAAAATACTTGGTATTTACCCAAAGGAGTTGAAAACGTATCCACACAAACACTGCACATGGATGTTAATAGCAGCTTTATTTATAACTGCTGAAACTTAGAAGCAACCAAGCTGTCCTTCAGTAGGTGAATGGTTAAATAAACTGTGGTACATCCAATGGACTATTATTCAGCACTAAAAAGTGAGATATCAAGACATGAAAAGACATAGAAGAAACTTCAACACATATTACTAAGTAAAAGAAATCAATCCAAAAAGGCTACACACTGTATGATTCCCACTATATGACATTCTGGAAAAGGCAAAACTATGGAAGCAGTAAAAGGATCAGTGTTTACATCCTCGTGGTTGAGGGGGAGAGAGGGATGAACAGGTGGAGCATAGTGGGTTTTTAGGGTAGTGAAACTACTCTGTACAATACTACAATGGTGGATGTATGTCATTATACACATTTGCTCAAACCCATAGAATGTACAACACCAAGAGTGAACCCTAACGTAAACTATGGACTTTGGATGATAATAATATGTCAATGTAGGTCCATCAATTGTAACAAATGTACCACTCTGTGGGGGATGTTGATAACAGGGGAAGCTATGCATGTGTAGGGGCAGGGAGTGTATGGGAAATCGCTGTACTTTCTGCTCAATTTTGCTGTAAACCTAAAACTGTGCCAAAATATAAAGTCTATTAAAAAAAAAAGAGAATCAAACAAATTTGCTAATTATAAAACGAATCTAAAATAAACAATAATCTTTCTATTATACTAGCAATAATCGACTAGAAAACATAATAGTATAAAAGATATTATTCACAAAACTAACAAAATAATCTATTTGTCCTTCATATGGACATCTAATAGGAATCTCTAAACTCACATGTTCAAAATTGAACACTGATTTCCCCTGCTCCTCCTACAGTCTTCCTTATATAAGTAAATGAACACGCTAAAACACCATCTGTCTAGCCTAGGCCAAAAAGTTCGGATTCATCCTTCAGCCCTTTCTTTTATACCTCACATTAAACCAGTCAGCAAAATCTATTGGTTCTGCTTTCAAAATACATCTGACAACTTCTCATCACCTCTTCTGCTATCCCTTAGTTCTCAGCTACCAAAGCTTCCTCCTCATCTCTGTTTTGCCGTTGTCCTCCTATAGTCTATTTTCCATATACAGTCATGGGTCACTTGATGAAGGGGACACGTTCTGAGAAATTTAGGCAATTTCGTAGTTGTCTGATCATAAAGTGTACTTACACAAACCTGGATGGTATAGACTACTGCACTGCTTAGGCTATACAGTACTAATCTTGTGGGACCACTATTGTATATGTGGTCTGTCCTTGACCAAAATGTTATGTGGGGTGTGACTGTAGTAGCCAAAGTAATCCTTTTACATGTAAGTCAGATCATGTCATCACTCTGCTCAAAACCTTCAAATGGCTTCTCATCTCATTTGGTATAAAAGTCAAAGTCTTTAAGGTCACACGAGATCTGACCCACTGATAACCTCTCTGTTTATCTCCTTCTACTCTCCTCTTCACTCATTCCATTCTATACATAGTCTACTTATTGTTCCCCTAACACCGTAAGCATGCTACTATCTTTGCACTTGCAAAGATGAAATACTTTTCCTCAAGAAATCTACACATAACTCACTCTCTCACTTCCTTTAGATTCTCTTCTCAAGTGTCTCCTTACCAGCTAGACCTTCTCTGAGCCCCATACATAAAGCAGCAGCTCTTCTTTAATGTTCTCCCAACTCCTCCTCCTTGGCGTTCTCTATCTCGCTATTCTCTATTTTCTTCAGTGGCACCTATTCTCAACTAACACACTACATGTTTACTTTCTTGCTTATTGTCTGTATATCCTCCACTAAATGCAAATTCTATGAGGCCGGGTACTCTTTTTTTCACTGCTATATCCCCAGTAACTGGAACAGTGTCTGTTTTATAGTACGTATTCAAATGTATTATTGAAAAAATAATGCATTGGTTTTTGTTATGCATTATATTTTTCTTTACAGTTGAAATATATCATAAAAATGAATAAAATAAGTTCTAAAGAAAAGTGAACTAAACTTTGAATACTCTTCAGATAGCAACATTTCATGTAAATAATGTAGTATATTTTTCTTTTCTATACGTAGTATTGCTGTTGATGGGGATTATATATCTGATTTAAGAGTATATAAAAAAAATCTGTTTTCCATCACAAAGCTTTAGCAAATTGACCCAGAACTCTGAGACTTATCATAATTAGGAACACATAAAGAGATTTTGGGTTTAGTAACATTCAAATTATTAAACTTTTAAAACAAAAATCTCATTTCAGACAAGGGTGTAAGGGGAAGGATTTAAAACTGCTTACTCAAATTTAAAATAGCAACTTTTCTTAGTAAAATTCTAGTTTATCATAAAATGAAAGTCTCATATTACTTGACTGTTAATATTCCTTTCCAACCTTTTAAAATCAACTCTCTCCTAACCTTTCTGTTTCACTCAAGAGCTAGGATGTAGTGGACAAATAGCACAGAGTACAAGTGACATCAGTGAGAATGGCAGAGTACGGACTGCAAAAAAGCTGCTCCTCCAAAAACACAAGGAGAACACTGGCAAAGATTATCAAAATAAACTTTTTCACAACTCTGGAAATCAAACAAAGGTCTGCAGCAATCCGAAGAGTGCATATTCAAGAGAAACAGCTAAATCTCAGTAATAAGGTGAGCCTCATGGTTTTAATTTGCCCTACCTTCATTTCCCTCTCTTCAGCTCCACGGTCACCTTGAAAAACAACAATCCCACAAACCAGCAGTCTAGCAACCACTGGACGGGGCAGAATGGTTCTAGAGCTCCGAAAAAGCACCATTTCAGGGAACTGGGATTACCTGACCTGTCTGCCCATTCCCTGGAAACCTCTCCTCACAGTGTTTGTCTTTATTTGACCTGACTCAGAGCTCTCAGTGCAAACAGCCTTTTTCCTGCAGGTATTTGTCACAAATAGTCAGCAGCAGTTGTTTAATACTGTAGCTGCCCGATGCCACCCTAAGTAGGAGGCAAACAAGAAGGTGATGATAAAAATTAAAAATTAAAATTAAAAGCTGGGGAATGCAATGTCCATAGGGGGCTCTGAAAGCTCTTGACATATTCCTGGGAATCTAGAAGCCCATCCAAGCATATGTAGGCTGTTTGCAGGCCCAGGACAGACCTGAGAAGGTCTTAAGCTCTCATCTTTGTTGACCTTGAGGCTTTGAGCAGGTAGGAAGTGAAGGCTAAGGCAGAGGTGTAGACCGTCTGCCTGAGTGTTGAAGATGTGCCCCAACATGCACATAGAGCCCCTCAGCAAAAGCTGGGAGACTTACTGGTCACAGAAACTTCAGGAAATCTCTGTCTATTTAATAATTAGCTGACGCTTAAGCTAACTAAGCAGTGGTCACACTTGACAAAGAACATAAACTATACAGGCTTAGTTAAGAAAATTAACTAACTAAATAAATATTATCAACAACAACAATCACCACCACAACAAACAGCAACAAAAACCTTGGACAGAGGGGCAGAATTTGATTTCCAGAGTTGCCATATTATATTATTTAAAAGGTTCAGCTTTCAACAAAAAAAATTATGAGATGTTGAACTTTTTAGACAAAGACTTTATTTTTTATTTATTTATTTTTTTTTGGTGAGGAAGACTAGCCCTGAGCTAACATCTGTTGTCAATCCTCCTCTTTTTGCTGAGGAAGATCGGCCCTGGGCTAACATCTGTGCCCATCTTCCTCTACTTTATATGTGGGACACCTGCCATAGCGTGGTTTGATAAGCGGTGCATAGGTCCGTGCCCGGGATCCAAATCTGTGAACCCCAGGCCGCCGAAGCAGAGCATGTGAACTTAAGCACTACACCACCGGGCCAGCCCCCCTAGACAAAGACTTTAAATTAGCTAATTTAAATATGCTCAAAGACCTAAAGGAAACCATGTCTAAAGAAATGAAGGAAAGTATGTCTAAAGAACTAAAGGAATGATGTCTCACCAAATATAAAATACCATTTAAGAGAGACAGAAATTATAAAAAGGAATGAAATAGAAATTCTGGAGTACAAAAGTACAGTAACTGAAACGAAAAATTCACTAGAGGGGCTCAACAGCAGACATGAGCTGGCAGAAGAAAGAACAGTGAACACGAAGATAGGTCAACTGAAATTATCCAATTTGAGGATCAGAAAGAAAAAAGAATGTAAATTTGGGAATGTTTTATCATTAAAATGTTACTTTTTACACGTTAGGGCCTATCCTATTAAATTTATTAAGGTATCTAAAAAACTCTATATAATATTAATTGAAATTCATTTTCAAGGAAATAATTAAGATAGTGTGGTAATATTGGAATGTTTGAAATATATGAATTATTGTAGCTGAGAGCTTAGTTGACCATATTTATAAAGCCATGTGTTGAGAAAGAATAACAATGTTGAAAAACTTGAATGGCATAGTTTCTAAAAATGTTATTTTTTTGGTCAACCAATAATCAATAAGTGCACATTCTTATTCTATTAACAGCTCTTAGTCTTTCTCTATTTTTATAATTCTTCCTTTGCTTCTGTAATTGTCTCAGTATGTAACAAGTTGATATATAAACAGATACTATGATTGCACAGAGAAAAAGTGAAACTTGCTACCTGAAGGAATATGTCAAAACGATCTTCCTAACAGTGTAACCAAATAGACACATGAATATTGTTGCATGAATGCAATCATATATTAGAAAATAGCTAGGTTTGAAGGACATATGTGATAACATTATTATGAGCAATAATGATGCTACAGCATATTAATTTTAACATCCATCTTCTTTTAGAGATTGTAAATTAAATCTGCAGATACATACCAGATCTGTTTTTGGAGGATCTGGACACTCAGTGGAGAAATAAGGTGCTGAACTTCTGACTCCACCACTGTCAGGAGCTGGCTTTGGAGGCTGAGCATGCTGTCTGTAAGTAGCACTTTTAGGAGTCCAACAAAACAGATTGATTGATTCTCGCACACATCGTTCAATGTCAATTTCTACATAGAAAGTTTTAAAAAAAGCAAACATATGGAATTTAGACTGCTGTGTTTATGTTAAAAGCACAATCTTTCCTAAATGTATATATCCAAATATGGTTAAGATGATAACTAATTAGAAAAGATGTCAGTAAAAAAATAACGTAGATATTAACTAGCATATTTATGATTGGAACGGTAGGGGGTATTTTGTAGTAATATACACATACATATACACATACATATGTAAATATATGCATATATTTTTATGTCTGTTCTATTTGGTATTATCTACATATATACATATATCTACAGTACATATGTCTATATATTTCAGCATATAATTACCTAAACATCATGAAATATAACACATCTCCTTATTTAAGAATCTGCCTCATTTACTCTGATAATATTTTTACTTTTTCAAAGTAAAATACAGGTTGGGGGGAAGGCTGGAGTTTGGGAGTGGGCAGGCAAAAGATTCAGATGTTGATTCACCGTGACTTCTAGTAAAGCGTACTAAAAGGTTCATTTCCATCTATTAACGAAGATATAAAATAATCAGGGCAAAATTTATTAAAATCTCAACTCTGCATTTCTCCCTTTCTTTTATAATTTCTTTGAGTTAAGCGCAGAAAGGTTTAAGTAAGGTTTCATCGAGAGATTAAATGCACTTGATTAAAATGCTAAAAAAAGGAAACATTTTCTTAGATTTCCTTTTCTTTCTCAGATTTGAAGGATATTTAAGCATCTTTGATACAGAGGTAACAGACATAGGAAGATTATTACAACTCCAAGTTAGCGTTTGTGTGTTTTAATGAGACTGTAGCTCTTGAGGTCAATATTCCTGACGGAGTAAGACATTCCTGTATGGGGAAAGTGGAGAGATCACAGAACGACAGTCAAAATTCAAGAAATTGACTAGGATGGAGTTTGGCATGGACTAGTTTTTCTCTTTCTATATTCCTAATGTAAGTAAATGGCAGGACTTCATTTCCTCTGCAGAAGTCCAAGTGTGTCAGCTCAGATAGGCAATGGAGAAAAATATACTACATGTTTGAAATTATAAAGGGATAAGTTCCCTATTTCTCTTTTTGAAACGAGGAGCTTATATATAAGGGGAAAAGGAAATAGGCATTTAAGTCAATTCTGTGGATGGTGCATGAGTCATGCATTTAGAGTTGTCTGCTTTTGTAAGGTAGAAAACTCTTGGAGAAGGGAAGAGAAATGGACACTTATGGAGCCTGGATGTGACAGGCATTGTATACTTTCACTTAGCCCATTTAATTCTTAGGAAGATTCTTGTAGACAGGTATTGTAATCCCCCTCATTTCTGCTGAAGATGAAGAAACTAAGGCACAAGGAAGCTAAGTGATTTAATGTGTTAAGTGTGTTATTATGAGTAGAATGTCTGAAGTTACTAAAGGGTTATAAGGCATATTGTATCTTTCAAATCATTTAGATCTGGGATATGGCCAGCAAGTCCGGAAAGCCCAGTTACTCAATTAAGCGTTCCTTTATCTGCTATTAGTGATGTTTGCCAATTTCACAGTTGGTTACTTCCATGGCTACACAGAGGTCAGAGTTCATCACCCCATATGCTATTCCTAACATAAATTCTATAAAACAGGGTTAAAAACATGTTTTGAGACATAGGTTTATTTATGGTCAATACAGTGAAATGTATTTTTTAAAAAGCTCTATAACATAATTATCGACTTGCTATTCCACAAAGAGAAGAACACAGACACCAACTAGAAGAAAAATCAAAGTTTAAGATAGTTCTTCTACTTCACTTAGGAAGGAAGAGACATGCTCAATTCATTTTAGAAAATTTCTACTTAATATGGTTAAGATAAAAATTTGTAGCTAAAGAGAAAACCCTGTCATCTTAAAAAAGTTTATCCCCTTAACATTGTTTAATCTCCAAAAGAAAAGAATTTTGGACCATAGATTTTGCATCTGCAGTACTCAAATCAGTTTGATTTATCTGTCACCCAGTAAAAGCTTGAAGTCAAGTCAATGATCCAGATCAGAGGTTGTAGTTCAGTCCTTAAAATTGCTGGCAATGGAAAAGTCATTTGTATCTGCTTCCAAAACACCCTACCACAACCATAAAAGGCTTACAGTGAATCTTGAGAGTTTACTGGCATCCACCCCAATTCCACCCTGATTATCAGTACTGGCAGATATCCCATTCTCCATTCACTTGACCCATGTCACCTCTTCATCTCAAAATCCTTCCAAAACACTTTATTATAACCAAAATACTATGTAAAATCTCTTGTAAACTGTACATTAGAATATGCAATTATTTTAAGAAAGTAATCTCTCATCCTAGGGCAAGACTGTTTTCTATCTTGCATTGTAAGTCTGATGTAACACATTGTGAATAAAGCATGTACCCTGGATTATGATTTCCCAGGTTTGATTCTAAGCTCCATGAGGTACTTTGTGACTCTGAGAGAAATAATTTCTCTAAATCTCGGTTTCTTTATCCTCATCCATTACTATCATATCTCTCCAAAATACTGAATTATTTTCAAAATGATAAAACACATCTCATGTTTCACATGGACAAGGATAGGCAGAAAAGACATCTCTCCTGAAGCCCTCTGTTCTCTTGCTTTAATGGCCATGAATTGCTTCCTAGATCTAGTGAACAGCTGTTTTCCTGGCAGTTCCCTTACCATCATCTAATTCCCTTTGGCTCTCTCCTATATTTGATCTCTAATTTTGGGGGTAAGATATTATTTACTCTTCCTTGATTTACTCCATAATTTTGGTGGAACATATTTTCCAGTACTTCTAAGAAAGGGTGCATAGAAAGCAAATTATTTTGGAATCTTCCATGTCTTTTAATATTTATTCTGCCCTGGACTGATGACTGGACTCGGCATAGCATTCTAGGGTTGAATTTTTTTTCCTTCAGAGTTGTGAAAGGCAGTGCTCCATTGTTTTCTTCTGAGAAGTCTGATGCCATTCTTATTGACATGATTTGTACATGATATTCTCCTTTTCTGTACACTTTTAGAAGCCCTGGTGTGCTGAAAGTTCATGATGATATATGGAAGTGTGTATCACTTCACTGTGCTAGGCATTTGACAGTCCTTTTTAACCCTTCAGTTACAGTAGAAGTTCTTGTTTGATGTCTGTGATAATTGCTTTCTTACTGTTTTCTCTTTTCTCTTCTTTCTTCCATAAGAATCTTGAAAACCTTGAATTGACTTTCTAGCTATTTTGCCTTTTCCTCTTACTTTCCATCTATATTTCTGTTCTGTTCTCTGAGAAATTTCCTAAACTTCATCATCCAACTATTTTATTATAAAGCTCATTGCATTTCCACATTTTTAATTTCCAGTAAATCTTTTCTGTTCTTTGTTACTTAAAAAAACCCCTGACTTTTCGTAGTTGCAACATCTTCTCATAATTACCTTTCTGAGGATACTCCTCCATTCAGTCTATGCCGAGTCTGTTAGTTGCAGGCTTTCCTTAGAGGTTTGGTGATCTATGACTATACATAGTGAAAAGAACAGCACTAAAAATCCAGTGGAAAGGTTTGTATATGTGGGCAGGGCTTGGTGACTGGTGGACTCACTACAGAGTGATTGGGGGCATGGTCATTTGTTCGAGGACCCCCAAGTAAGGTATTTCTCCTTCTGGGGACATGCTTTCTCTCCAGAGAATAGTTCTCTGATCTGTCCAAACAATCCTTGCCAGCACTCTGGGAACAGACCATGGAGGGGCCTGGGGTTGTAACTTTACACATTCCCTCACTCCTGTTCTCTTCTATGCTGCTGACTCTGAGTCTTGAGACTCTCTGATTCTTTTACTCCAAAGAATACCCCTCTAAATTTACTGTTCCCATGGTCATGTTTTGTATAATTTGCAAAAGTAAAGATATTTACAGCACAATCAGTGAAGACTGCTGTCTTTATTTACACCAGTTTTCCTCCATTACACTTCCTCTTGTGCTGGGCAACATTATAGTGGCTGTGGACACTTTCAGATATAAGTAAGAGTAAGCTAAATTAGGGGTATATTTAGTTTGGTTTAATGGGATATATTTCCGTGATTTAAAGTCACTTTTGAGTATTGACAAAGATTTTCTCCTTGACCAAACTCTAGCCAGGCTCCTCTAAGCCCTTTCTTGATTATGCTTCAACCCTGGCCTATAAAGACTTGAAGAAAACGCTAACATAGTTTATAAGTGCTCAAGGCCACATCCCTAGGATGACTCTAGCCTCCCTTAAAGTGCCAGCCTGAGAAAAGCCAAGGCTATCAAAAGAATGTACTGTGTGTTCCGGCAACACCTGAAGGGGGAGTCCCCGTCCCCCAGCCTCTGTGGGAGGCTGATTTCTGTTCTGGCAACACTGAAGGTGGAGGCCCCGTCCCCCAGCCTCTGTGGGAAGGCAGGAGTCTCACTTCAATAAATGCCAGTTAGCAGACTCAGTGGGTTTCACAGGGACAAATGCCCCCCTTCACATTCTCTGTAACTTTTCACTTCCCTGAGTCTTCTGAGTCCCTAGTCACCTCCTTCCCTATTCCTTCATTCTCCCTTTAAAATGCCCAGTCACCTCTCTACAAACGAAGTTGAGTTCATTCCTGGTGGACTCTTCCTTACTGCAACAGTTACTACTGATGAAAACCTGTCCTTACCACTTTAACTAGTGTCTGGCTTTGTTCATCTTTGACAATATAGTGAAGTTATTGCCAGCTCTAGAAATGACTTCCTGGAATAGTCCCACCACCTGCTACACAGGAACAGAAGTTGTAATGCAATATGAATGTGTTCCAGCACCAGAAGGTTATGAGTAGGAGAAACACAGTTGAAACGTATACAGCCAAAAATCAGACTGAAAAATTCTTCCAAACATTAAACATGTAAAATTATAAGCAAAGAATCTGGTTCTCATTGATGCCTGATCAAAAGAGAGACGCTCCTTCCAGGAATAGACTCGATAATGCTATATATACAATTATAAGTGTACCACTTTTTTTTTCTTTTTTGATATGAATTT